ACCCTCCCCTTCCACTTCCTCGGCTTCAAAAGCGCCGCCCCCGAATTCACACTCCGCACCCGGATCTGGGCGTCCTTGCAAATTCAAGTTCGTCGTTTCGATGCAGCGGTATTCGAAGTTCAACAAGGAGGAGCATGAGAATGCCGAGTTTCTCTTACGAGCTTATCCAGACCTCCAAATTGCTTACCTGGACGAAGAGCCTCCAGCCAAGGAAGGCGGGGATCCCCGGATCTTTTCGGCCCTTATTGACGGGCATTCCGAGTTTGTCGGGGAGAAGAGACGGCCAAAGTTCCGCATCGAGTTGCCCGGGAACCCGATTCTTGGGGACGGAAAGTCGGATAATCAGAACCATGCGATCGTGTTTTATCGCGGCGAGTATTTGCAGCTCATTGATGCGAATCAGGACAACTACCTCGAGGAATGCCTCAAAATCCGGAATGTCCTTGCGGAATTCGAAGAGTATCGCGTTTCGGGAGAGAGTCCGTACGCTTCATGGGGAAGTAAAGACTTTAAAAAGTCACCGGTGGCGATTGTGGGCGCCCGAGAATATATCTTTTCGGAGAATATTGGGATTTTGGGAGATCTTGCAGCGGGGAAGGAGCAGACGTTTGGGACGCTTTCGGCGAGGAGTATGGCGTGGATTGGGGGAAAACTGCATTATGGACATCCGGATTTCCTTAACGGATTGTTCATGAACACTCGTGGAGGTGTTTCGAAGGCGCAAAAGGGCCTGCATTTGAACGAAGACATTTACGCTGGGATGAATGCCTTTGGACGAGGCGGACGGATCAAGCATACGGAGTATTATCAGTGTGGCAAGGGTAGAGATCTTGGGTTTGGGACGATTTTGAATTTCCAGACAAAGATTGGGACGGGGATGGGGGAGCAGATGTTGAGTCGGGAGTATTATTATCTCGGGACGCAGTTGCCTATCGACAGGTTTCTGACGTTTTATTATGGACATCCGGGGTTCCATATCAACAATATGTTGGTGATTCTTTCGGTGCAAGTTTTCATTGTTACGAGTGCGTCGCCTTTCGTCCATTTTCGGTCATTAACTCGTTTCCAGTGCTTTTCCTCGGGACTTTGAATTCACAGCTCCAGATCTGTAAATACACTGATGCTGGCCAGTTCATTGGTGGTCAAGCCGGCTGCTACAATTTGGTCCCAGTCTTTGATTGGATCCGCCACCGCATTATTAGCATCCTCCTCGTCTTCCTCATCGCATTCTTGCCGCTCTTCTTGCAAGGTTCGTTCGAATCATCTTTTATTCCTCATTGGTTAACTCTTCGTAGAATTGGTCGAGCGAGGAACCTGGAAAGCCATATTCCGTCTCTTTAAACAATTCCTCTCCTGGTCTCCTGTCTTCGAGATCTTCTCCACCCAAATCCAAACACATTCCATCCTCAGCAATCTCACCTTTGGCGGCGCTCGATACATCGCCACCGGTCGCGGCTTCGCCACATCTCGTATCCCTTTCTCCATTCTGTTCTCGCGGTTCGCCGGGCCGGGGATATACCTCGGCGTACGGACGTTGTTGATGTTGCTGTATGTGACATTGACGCTGTGGACGCCGTATTTGATATACTTTTGGATATCGATTGTATCACTCTGTGTCGCGCCGTTTATATTCAACCCGCATCAGTTTGTGTTTACGGATTTTATGGTGGATTATCGGTTCGTCTCTTCCTCTTCCTCTTCTCTTCCTTACTGATTAATTCAACATAGAGAGTTCCTGAGATGGTTATGTCGCGGAAACTCGCGCTCCCATACCTCCTCATGGATCAACTATTGTCGGCTTTCTCGGACCATGATCACAGGATTCAAGAAGAAGAAACTCGGACATCCGTCTGAAAAGGTTTCAGGGACCGAAGTTCCCCGGGCCTCCTGGCGCGCCGTCATCTTCTCCGAAGTCCTCTTCCCAATCTTCATGGCCATCCTCTTCATCATCGCCTACATGTTCGTAAAGTCCTTCCCTGTCAACGGAAAACAGCCCCCGTCGGGTCTTATTCGGATTCTCGTGGTGTCGCTGGGGCCGATAGCGTGGAATGCGGCGGTGCTATTCGTGTCGGGATGGTTCTCCTTCATTGTTGGATCGGTTTTAGACCCGATGTTCCCGAAATTCGGAGCGGTGATGGCGTTTATTGCGCATTCGCTAGGTTTGATCGGTATGATTGCCTTTGCGGAATTCTTGGTTTGTCTACCTCTTCTTTCATCTTCTGTGTTTTATTGATTCGTTTTGGTTTATACAGTGGTTCCTTGAGCTCTGGGACGTCTCGCACGCTGTTCTAGGATTAATCGCCATGATAGCAATTCAACGTGCCATCCACAAAACCCTCATATCCATATTCCTCACCCGAGAATTCAAGCACGACGAGACAAATCGTGCCTGGTGGACTGGGAGGTGGTATGGCCGTGGTTTCGGTGCTCAGGCATTCTCGCAGGCCCTACGGGAATACGTTGTCAAGATCATTGAGCTTTCGTTGTGGAGCTCGGATTTGCTGTTGGGGCATTTGTTGCTGTTTATGCTGTCGCCCCCATTGCTTATTCCGGGGTTCGATCGATTGCATGCGGTCATGCTTTGTATGTCTTCCTTCCTTTCTATTTCTCTCTTTGTCGAAGCTGACCCGATGGATAGTCTGGCTCCGTCCCTCCAAACAGATTCGAGCGCCGTTGTATTCGATGAAGCAGAGCAGCCAGCGGCGGGCTATCGTAAGTCGCTTTTGCTTTGCGAGCTTCACTGACCAAAGGATTCAGATCATCAAATATGGAATCGTTTACTTCCTCGCGCTGACGTTCTTCATCTTGATGATTGCACTACGTGAGTATATTCTTATTCATCTACATTCATTAACTGACTTGAGTGTGTAGCGGCAGCATTCAGGACGTCGCTCCATTTCGACTGTTCGGTGTGTAATATTTTGTAGGCGGACTGACCTTACACTACGATTCTATTGCCTTTATGCTGGGACTCGACGGACTTTATGCTACGTATGACTCTGAAGCTACGTTATCTCAACTCAATGCTATCTACGATATATAAATGACTTGTTGTACATATATATAAATGACACTCACGGACTTTGCATAGAGTCTTTCGGTGTAGCTGTAACATTGCATATGGACAATAAAAGGTGTTATAGCGGCTTTTTGTGAGAGTTGCATCTCTTTTCACTTGGCCGGATTTCTTGGATTCTCAAAGACTGTTGCTTCTGATCCAGTGCATCATATGGCAGTGGTCGTGTAACACTTGACGGTGTTGCGACCTGCTCTTGCTATGCTTTCGATGGGGGACGCGAGAACCTTGATTTGGTCTAGCTCTTCTGAAACCTTGCTGTCATAGGCGGCTACTTCAGCCACAATTAATGTTCACTGTGTTTGCTGCGAGGTATGGGAGGCATCTTGGAGGCTTGATACAAGCTGTGAACCGGTGTGTTAGCTCTGTATAAAGTTTCAAGCTGTATAAGAGCCGCAAAAAGCTGTCATAGAGCTTTTGATGTGTGAGCTAGTGCATTCAGTGTCTCAGGCGCATATCAGAGTCGTGTGAGAACAACATATGATGTGGTTGACATGTCGCCATCGGCCTTTCTTGCTGTATCAGCCCTGTATTGTCCTCTTCATGCAGGATGTATATTTCTCGCTTCACAACACTCCACAGTGAGGAGTCCAAGGAGACACATTTAGGTTCGACCTCGGCCTTCCCAAGGTGCGCCACCTCTCCCTGCTTTAATCACGGGAGCTTCTGTCTCAGATTCCTCAAGAGTTGATCTGTTTCCCTGTGTTATCTGGTGCTTGCTTCAACTGACTTCTTCGGTCGCTTCACTTTTGGCTCTGCATCTGCGGCTGCCTCAGATTCCTCTGCAGGCTCAGTGGCTTTATGCTTTCCGCTGCCACTTTTACTGTCAGAGGGTTGGTAATCATCTTGTATCACGTACTTACTCGGTATTCCCCGGATCATATTTAGTTGTCATGTTCATAGTTTCACTCTCTATTGGCCAGCTCAATTGCAATAATTAAGCAAGAGCAATGGACTGAGGGCCCATAACCTGTTAGATGGAGACTGACAAGGGCTCGCAAAGGAAAAGAGGAGCCAGAAGATAAGGAGTCAATAGAGAGTGAAATTACGAACATGATGACTAAATATGATCCAGGGAATGCTGAGTAAGTAAGCGAAGAAATTAAGAAAGCAAGAAAGGAATCAAGGAATAAATGGAACTCCCACTGGAGTTTACATGGCAATAACTCCAATATATGCCGCATTAGCTTGAGGCTCTGTCAAATAGGGATGGGCACCGTCCGTTGACGGGGCCGGCCATCACATTGATGGGTCATGACGGGTATGGAAATTTCTGACCCGTCCGTCCATGGGCAGTTCTGAAGTTCTGACAGGACGGGACGGCCGTTGACAGGGATGGACCATACCCTCTAAGTCTTGAGGTTTTAAAACTCATTCCATGTTCTTCATTGAGGCTTTAGGCACTGAAAAGCGGAATATCCGGTCATGGAAGCCGATGGGTGAGCTGGCTGACCAAATGGGTGTTATCTGGTTGAACATGGTAAATTGAACTCACTCAATGACTGTATAGTTTAGAGAAGTACTGACCTGAACTCTTTCAGTGCTGAACAGCACAAGAAATTTATCCAAACTGGACTACTGTGGAGGGCAGGATCAAGAGAGCACATGTGAAATTACCCGACTCTTAACCTAATTTGGAAATTGGGCGGGGCGGTCGCTAGAGTGTGTCAAATAGGCTTCTTCAGGAAATCAAGACAGATTCTAAAAGATGGTGAATACTCACTGTCATTTTTTTTATAGTTCCTCAGGGCGATATAACTGGTTCAAGACCGGCTTCTCCAAACCCACTCATCAACAGGGTTAAACTGTCCCATCATCCATCTATTGACTTGATGTCTCCACTCTCAGACAGGACGGGTATAGGACCTGTCAGACAGTGAAACACATGTTCTTGTTCTGGTCAAACAAGCGACTTGAAAAGGTTTGGCGCTAGAGGGATTCAAATCCCCAGCCTTCAGTCTTCATGAGTGATGCTCTACCAATTGAACTATAGTGCCCATGCTAGGAGGCACAACTTGTACTTTATATAACCATAAGTTGTCATCTGACATGCCCGCTGCAGGTGTATCCACAATGCCTTAGGGAAATCCCTGCCTTATAGGTTTTTCAAGCACAGATGCTGACCAAGCATATCATCATTCGGTGGGGCTGTTGATGCAAATGGAGTCTTTGAAACAGATCTATAAAGATCTATAACTAATAATCCAAATACACACTAACTCTCTTTTAACACCCCAAGTAATTCAGGCAGTTCAAGAAAGAGAAAGCCTTTCAACGAAGTTGTAAAGTTTCAGTTGTGCACTGCTGGTCTCTCACAGACAGAAACTTGGCTTAGTTCACTTTGATGGCGAACCTTGCACAGTTTTTGTAATGGTTTTAATTCACAAGGAATATAAAGGGGATAGTGCAGGGCTATGACTTCACTGGGTGCAGGGCTACTGCTTCAAGGGGTGTCAGGCTACGACTTCGATATGTCTTTTCAGACAAATACAATTTTATTGCACTTCAGAGCACCACATCCTCGCATACACACTAGCACTATCACTAGGTTTGTACCTGAGATCACCACATCCTTGTGTACTACAATAAAATGTTCCACTTGGACTCTGCTTGTGCGCTGAGCTTTGTGGGGTACAATTCACTGGGTACTATCAATACAAATGTGCTAGCTTTATAGTAATTTTACATATTATTCAGAGTCTGCTCCCTTACCAAGGTTCACTCAAGGACGGGCCACTTGTCTTGGTTTCCTTATTTGCTATGCCTCAATAATCCACCAAGCACTTTGTCTTCTTTTTATGGTCATCATGCTGTGTTTGTGATTTTGAAGCATGATTCCTGATTAGGACATGTTTCACCATCACTTCCTTATACGTGTGCACTCCGAGTAAGACTGATTGGTCACCGCTTACTCAGCAGAACTTGGTATAGTTTCCCTGCACTAGTCCTTCTGCGCATCATAATTCCTTGCACTGGTAATAGAATATTGTTACGACTCTGTATTAGACATGAGATGTCCACTGTTACAGCACTTTTACTGTGTGGTTTCCCTGAGTAACTGCATCATGTGTAGACATGTTGTGTTTCTTTGTTTGATACTTTAAAGCATCATGTATTGGCTTGTTATGCTTCATGATATTGTCCCCAGCCTCAAGCACTCAAGACTATTTCCTATGTTGACTGAGTAGTGCAGGTTTACTAGTAACACTGCTGTGCCATTGTGTCCTTGTCTGTTGAGTATTCTGGAAAGACCATGTTATCGATCATTGCTAGAGCCTTCTTGGAGTTTTAACTATGTTCAATACTGTTACTGGTGCTCCTCTAGACAAGACAGAACTCGCTTTCTAGGCACATTGTGTCCCATTCGTAATCAGGAAAGACGGTCATATTTACTAGATATACCGAAAATACAGGGTGGAACATTCCCAACCCTATTATCTCCCCCACACAATAATAATGACCCCCTGGTCATTCCTACTGTGCGATTCATGCTTGATTCCTTGTTAAACAATGTCACTCATACTTTGTTCACTAGGATCTATCTTTGTTCTGCAGTGCTTGATAACCGGCTCTGATGTCTCAGATCATTTGGTGATTGCCTTTTTAGGCCAATACTACTCCGCACACCTATCAAGTTGGCTCAAAATGTGATTTCCCATAGTTCTGTGATTTTTTGTTGCAGACAAGTTTTACCTGTTCAGGGTCAATGCTGAGGCCAATGTCATCCTGCCTCGGTCACGTTTCTTTTTCCTTTGTCTCGATGGTACATAGACCCTGCAGCACATGGGAGAGGCTCTTTCTCTTTCAATTCCTCTCTCATCGCGAGCAGAGCTCTTCGTCACATTTAAATTCTGGCTTTGCGGCACCAGGGCAAATTTATTTCAGCTGAAAGACACCATCAACTTTACCCCAGCTTTTACGCCACTGTACCAGAAGAAGTTAGCATGAACAACAACAGACATTGTGAATCAAGCTCTGGATCAACGACTCCCAGCCGCCGGTGGCTCTGGAGTAGGTCCATTAACAGGGAATCCGGCAGCTGCTACATCATCAGCTCCTTTGTCTTTGCTTTCTCTGTTCCCCAAAATCGAGGCGGCTACCATCATATCCATTATTCAGCACGATTTTCATGCTTCCGACCTCTACAAACTCGACTCACGGTACTGAGACAAGACAGAGCGCCAGACTTTGTCTCTTCAGGGTGATACTGGAGCTCACTACCAATGACTCTGCGTACAAGGAGTATAAATCCCTGAACTCCATTGCTGTTCTCCTCAGCATTTATTTCTCCATTCTTGTCGCCCATTCCCAAGCCACGGGAAAAACCAGTGACATAGCCATCAGCTTTTTTCAGTATAACACGCATCTGATCAAGATCACATCAGAATATGAGTGGACAGCCATCGTTGCTTATCACATGGCTTTCTTCAACAGGTGTCAACAAGAGATGGCAGATGGCAATTGCAAGGGCTGGGAGCGGATTGACATGGAGCTTCGGGGCCAGCATCTTTACCCTAACCCCAAGCTTTCTAACCTGCAGAAAGGCGCAAAGAACTCCAACTGACCTTTGGCCTCTTCAGGCAAGCTGGATGCTTGCAGGAATTTCAATATTGGGTGGTGCCCTGGAGCAGTTTGTCCATATGGGTGGCCACATCTTTGTTCCACATGCGGCAAGGCAGAACATGGCGCGCATACCCATTCGGGAATCACCGCTGCCAAGACTCCGGCTTAGGTCATCAGCAGGGCGAGTAATCACTCTCAATTTACTCGCCCAAGCCAGGCCTCAAGTGAGTCAGTCTCCATCATCATGGCACCTCCTTCTCTTCCACATGCTCATAAATTTCCAGCACTTTCACTGCCTCCAGCTCATCCTAATACAGACCCTCGATGTAATTTACCACCAGATAATGATATCCTGAATGAAACCACATGGAGACATCATCTGAAAGATTACCCAGACCCCCAGTTCGTCGCCACCCTCATCCATATCATTCACAACAGAGCTAATGTTGGTTTCACTGGAGACCGAGATAAAGCCCAATCTTCATGAATCTCAAGTCATGTACAGATCACTTTGATGCCATCTCAGCCAATATCGAGAAACAAGTAGCCAATGGACACACCATTGGTCCATTTGTTACACCACCGTTCGCCAATTTTTGTAGTTTGCCACTCAGAGCAGTTGCAAGAAAGTGCTCATCCAAAGTTCATCATATTCATCATCCCTTGTCACCACAGGGCTCTTCAGTCAATGACAGGATTCCTGATTCAGAAGCATCCATCACATATGATATGTTTCAGCTCACAGTACAAGATCTACTTGCTTCAGGAAAAGGTTCATTATTGCTGAAACTCGATCTTGAGTCAGCATTTTGACATATCCCTGTTTGACCGGCGGATTGGCACCTTCTTGGATTCACCTGGCTCCTGGATTATCGAGCATCACATTCTGGCTTGATTGTGGCACTACCCTGATGACTATCTGTCAATCTTCTCACCAGATAAATCAGCCGAGCTTGTCACTGAAGCTCTCGAATGGATTATGGCTCTCGGACAACAGCTTGGACTCTGATTCCAGCTGTCCAAGGTCGAAGGTCCATCGACATGTCTTGAGTTCCTGGGAATTATCCTGGACTCTGAATTAATGGAAGCGAGCTTAAGCGATGAGAAGCTTAGCTACCTATGGGAATTACTTAGTACTTGGTCTCAGTGAACCAAGTGCAACTTTCATGAGCTTGAGGAACTCACAGGATATCTTCAGTTCACATCACAGGTCATCCCAATGTCACGAGCATTTATCGGGCATCTATATGACTTCAGAGCGGGCTTCAAATCATCTTATTCCATTCGTCATATCCCACGATCAGCCAAGCACAACATTGATTGGTGGTCAAGGTTCGCAGCTGAATGGAATGGGATCAGATTCATCGCACCAAAACGCGATATCATAAAGGCATTGGTGGTGTCTTTGGTTCTGAGTGGTTCTCATGTCCCACTCCTCAGCACTATCGCAAGCGTCATATCCAAGTCAAGGAGATGTACGCCGTGATCTATGCTGTTCTCTGCTGGGGAGAGCAGTTCTGAGGGAAGCAAATCATTTTCCACATTGACAATGATGCAGTTTATAGGATACCATGGAGCTTGTCCGAACCTTCCTCAATCTCGCTTGCCGCCTTGATTTCACTTTTGTTTCTATTTGGTTATCTTCTGCTGATAACTCGCTTGCTGATGCTGCCTCTCGTTTTACTTTTACTTGGCTATTCCAAATCGCCCCTTATTTGCAAAAAAAGCCCATCTCGAAGTGCCTCTAGATTGGTGGTTTGAATGACATCCTGGCTATGACAAAACTGTCGCATTCTATCTTTGGCATGGACTCGCTTCCAGTACCTGAAAAACTTACAGCACCGGACAGAATTCCTTCATCAGACATGTACAACTCCATAATCTCTACAACACTGATGGCAGCATCTTACCAGCTTCACAATCAGCCATCATGCATTGGGTGGCACATCAGGGCGGCCGGATCGAGCCAAAAACAATCAAACAATATCTCACACATATCAGATCAATGCATACCGACCTTGACCTGCTGTTTACCGCCTGTGAGTCACCCCTCATCCAGCGTCTCATCTGGGGAATCAAGTACTATCATGGTGAAAGGGATAGACGACCTAAGCAGCCAATCACACTCGAAGTACTCACAAAACTTCTCAAGCAGCTTAAACCGGACACAGACATTGATCAACTCAATAAATATGCCACCAGCTGTCTTGTCTATGCCAGATTCCTGCATTGTGGTGAGTTCACCACCCACTCTGGAAAGAAGTTTAATCCCACCACAGATCTCACTCGAGGTTGCGTTGAATTTCTTCCCAGTGTCGCCAACACAACCAGCATCGCAGTCACTCTTCCAGTGTCCAACACAGACCCTTTCTGCAAAGGTGTCACCATTCATATCACAGCTGTCTCAGGAAGACCCACTTGCCCAGTGTCACAG